ACACACACACACACATAGACACACACACACGAAACATTCACACACACACAGAGTAGACGCTAAAGTGCAACATACAATTACGGAGTGTTCGACAAACACCGTTTTAATGGATGTAGTGCGAACAGACATTAACAACAAACAGTTCAAATTGTTGTTCGGTGATGCAGTTAACCAGTGCAATGAAGGCGAACGCAGCTGTGTACATGGCTGGACTATTCACTTAGCAACGGACGCCCTCAATGAGACCGAAGAAGAGGCATTACGTCACATGAGTATAGAGCTGAATAGTACGAAAACATTGACAAGCACGAAGAATGAAGCTACTGGAGAGCAGCTATTATTCACCGTGCATGATTTCAGCGTCCTCATGAACGAGAACTAGTGGTTGAAAGACAATATTGTGAATTTCTACATGAAAATGATTCTGCATGACAACAATTGCAGAACATTTCATCACGAATGTGACAATCAGTTTGACAAGTTCAATCTATGTAGCACGAGGACGATCTCCGTCACGGGTGCATATAGCTCATACTTTTTCACTAAACTTCTAAGCAGAAACATGGAATATAAGTATGACAAAGTTGCTAGATGGTTTCGGGATGTCATCATAGCAGACACGGAGTTGATTCTAGCGCCATATCACGATACGAAAAAGAAACACTGGACACTTGTTGCGGCCGACTGTCGACGGAATGTGATAGAGTATTACGATTCAATGGATACAAACACGAAGTTAGCTGAACAGGTGACAGGCTACTTCGCGCGATTTTTACTAGAGCGCTCAACGCACCAGGGCCGACCAATAGACGTATCGTGCTTAGAACACACTTTGGAAGTGAAGGGCATTCCAAAACAGGAGGACGCGAGTCAGTGCGGAGTGTTCATGCTCACTTATGCATCTCTTCTAGCGAGAGGCAAGATGCCACCATTCAATTTCACAATGGATGACATACAGGGCATTAGATGAAGGATCGCAATAGACTCAATAGCTTCATGATTTGCAAATTTGCAATTGCATCGTATTCGTTCATTGTTGTCGTAACTGATAACAATTCAGAGCCTTCGATAGGTTGTGGGTATCCTCTCATATTATTTTACACCGAAGAAAACTGAGAGGAATTGGAAAGCATTTGAAGGAATTCACGAAAGGCATTGGCATAACTTCATTTGGACTCACACTGCTCGTTGATGATGCATGTTGTATGATGGACTCGTACGGTAGAGGATATAAGGGACCATAGTTGTGGTGTATGGTCTTTTTCTTATGGGATATGGTATAGTAAGAACATGTGATGGTAGCCATCACTGCAAAGAAGGAAGTCACTCAAACATAAGTGTGGTTGTGAACTTGGGGTACCACATAATGATGTATGTTATATGATGGACTCTTACGATACAGGATATACCATACCATAGTTGTGGTGCATAGTCTGTGATAGATGATCCTACCATCTAATGGGATATGGTATACCATCACAATGCGATGGTAGCCATTACTGCAAAGAAGGAAGTCACTCATTTCCACAAAAAAACATAGACGAAATTGTCAAAGTTCAATTTCGCGAAAATAGTAAAAAATGTCAATTTTAACGAAATGTCAGTTGTTGTGCAGCGAAACGCTTAGATGGTCTACGGTAGGGACGCAATAACGAAACGTGGTAAACATCGTGTACATGAGCTTCGTGTAGGTAGTCCGGCAGCTTCACACGAAAGCTGACCGGGCTGGATGCCGTATCAAAACCGACGGCCTGGAGAATGAGGCATGGGCCGAAGAAGTGACGCCGGAACTTGCGAAGCGTGTCCGCTTCCAACTGTAAGTGGCGGGCGTCGACAAGCACATCATCACTGACTTTGAATGAATGATCCATCCTCGATCGGTTCACACGTAGGGCCATGCGATTCGGGGAAGCGGCTATGTGCTCATGCGCGGTCTTCATGATCGATATCATGTGCGCAACCCAATCATTCAGCACATGACAACTCGTGTTGGGGTGCATCTGTGACGGTAGAAGGAAGTCGGGGGGAACACAAGGGTGATAGTCGAGGTCACAATAGTAAGGTGATATCCCCGTGGTTGGTCAGACGGCGTGGTTATAGGCTATCTTCGCGTGGGCAAGATGGAGATCCCACTGCTGGTTGTCATGAACAATCTTTCGGAGAATATCTCCAAGAGACTTGTTCGTGACCTCGGTCTGACCATTAGTCTGGCATGGTAAAACGAGGACAAGCGGAGATGGGTGTCGTACATCTCGTGGAGTCATCGCAAGAATCGGTTAGTAAAGCGCAGGTCACGGTCAGATATGATGGTCAGGGGTAAGTCACGGTCACGCACGACTCAGTCAAACACGTTGTCAGCGACCTCACGTGCATTGATGGCATAGCAGCGCGGAACAAAGTGTGTGTACTTCGTGAAGCGGTCGACGACGACCAGGAAAGCATCACGACTGAGGCGGGTGGGAGGACGAAGAGGACCGATAAAGTCCATCCAGATGGACTGCGAACGACCCTCAGGGATAGGAAGAGGCTGGAGCAAATCATAAGGCAGGTGGTTCACACTGTTCACCTCTTGATAGGTGGGACACTCTGCGACCTAGTCCTTCACAAAGTCCTTGCGCTTCGGCTAGACGTAGAGGCGGCTCACATGAGCCAACGTCTTGTGGAAGCCCATATGACCAGCGACTGCCTGGTCATGCAACTCTTCTACTGCCCGGACACGTAGCTGTCCAGTGGAGGGAACGCAAATACGGGGTTTTCTGAAGCCCTGTGAACCGTGGCAGTACACAAGACCGTTATCCTCGTGAGAGTAGTTCGGGACGGTCCTGCCACTTTGAAGGATCGCATGGATGTCGCGATAGTCGGGGCAATGGCGGTACTAAGTGCGAAACTCGTCGGTCATCGAGTGGTGGATGGTGGTAACCGAGATGGTTGCGAGCTGGATCTGATTATGGTCACCGCGCCGGGATAAGGCATCTCCGACCCTATTGGTCTCACCCTTTATGTGCTTAGTGGTGAAACAAAACTCGGATAGGTCATGCCACCAGCGAGCCTGTCGAGGAGTGAGCTTCGGCTTTGTCAGAAAAGCCTGGACAACAAAGTTGTCCGTGTGCACCGTGAATGGTGCCCCGTGCAGGTAGTGACGCCAGTGCCGAGTGACATAAACTATTGCGAGAACCTCCCATTCATCAGTAGTGTAGTTTATCTCCACGGGCAGGAGCTGACGGGAGTAGAAGGCTATCGGACAATCGTTTGAGCGAGACTAGAAAGTGCCTTCCTCCTGTGTGTCTATTCAACGGGCAACGGGGAAGTTTCAACTTCGTTGTCCCCGTTGAATTCCTGTTGAATAAAAAATTAGTTTTTTTTTATTTTTTTGCGTGTGTGTGTGTGTGTGTGTGTATGTGTGCCTCTGTGTGTGTGTGTGTGTGTGTGTGTGTGTGTGTGTGTGTGTGTGTGTGTGTGTGTGTGTGT